TATATATATATATATAAGATAATCCAGATGTTCCAAGAATAAATTTAATTAAACTTACTTTATTCAATAATTCATGTTCTATATCAAATTTCAATAATTCAATTGTTAAGTTAGAAATTTTATATATAGATCAAGTCTACAAATTTTTTTAAAAACATTAAAAATTATTTGATAATTTATTTTATCAATTCAAATTGATGAATAATTATAAAAAAAAATATTTTATACATTGATTTGAATTAATGAAATCGAGTATTAAATAATTTTCAATTTTTTAAAAATTTGTAAACTTAATTTATGCATTAATAACTTTTAATTCAATTGTTAAATCATTAAAATTTAATGTATAACTATAAATTATTGAGTTAAGTAAATTTAATTAGACTTACTCTTAAAATAAATAAATCCTTATATATATAACTTGATTATATTTTTATTATTATTAAAATTTAACAAAATTTAATATAAATATTCAAAACAATATAAGGTTATAATTCAAGAATCGATAAAAAAAAATATATATATAATTATTGAAAGATGTAAAGTTAGATATATAATTTGATCCATCCTTAAAAATATTAAATAAACAATGTCTTACTTTAACTGATTCCGAACGTTCTGCAAGTGTTTGATCTGTCAACTGTTTAATCTTAGTCGTCATGATTCTACCAGGAGCGTCTTTTGCTGCCTCTCCTTGTTTCTGTCAATATTATCATACAATAAAATCTTACACATATTTATCCAAAGAAGAAAAAAAAACACAAATCTCCATATTTTTACATAAAATAACACACACACACAAAGTAATGAATGCACAGTTCATTTCTCATGAGTTGAAGCATAGGAACTATGGATCGTTTGTGAAAGGAATTTTCGCCAACCAAACACCGAGTGAAATTTACGACCTCAAATGCCGTTTGTGCTATTCATGCACAAACAAAACAAAGTGAAAAATCTAAATGAAAGGAACTGAAGGAAGCAAGAGAGCAAAAGAAGGAGAAAAGAGAAACAAACTTGATGATGTTTGGATGAAGAGTGAGAAGTTTTTGAGGCCATGGATGCACACAAAGAAAGATTGTTTGATCAAAAGAGAATGAGATGAGATGAGTGAATGGAAGTAGTGATGAAGAGAATGAATATAACGCTCTATAACTGAGTTGGCCTTGTGCGTAATTTTTGGTGTCGTTTCATGCGCTGAGTTATTGTTCCCTCCGTTTTACATTGCAATGCCAACTTTATTTTTTCATCATAATATTTTGAAGTGGGTAGCAACATTTTCTAACACAATTCTCTTAAAAGATGTTTTTATCGGTTCAAATTTATTAAATATTATAAATTATAGTGTATTTCTGGTTTTTTTTTTAATATTTTTTGGATTTGAAATGTGTCTTCTTGAAACATGTTCTTGGGTCACACTTTTTCTTGATGTACTATAATAGGAATATATTAAATAAAAATTAATAAATTTAATATATTAAAGTATAAAGGGTATTAATTTATTATCTTCCTCATTAAACATTTTATTTGAAAGAACTTTTACCGAAATTGCATAATTATTAAAAGAGAGAAATTAAATTTATTCCGTTTCTAACATTTTCCATTTTTTGAATTACTCTCAAAAAAGAAAAACAAAAATTCACTCTTTCAATCTTATTTTTTATTGAAAAAAATATTTTATTCGGTGATAGTATAAAAGAATTTACTTTGTTAATTAAATATCATGATAAGTATTATATTAAATATATTTATCATAAAAGTCAACAAATTTATTATGTATCACAGTTTTGTAATTAGTTGAAAGCGTAAAACTTTTTACTTATATCAGCTTAATATATGATTACACCATATATGCATCAACAATGTAATAAAATTTACATTGTTATCTTTTTATAAATCATCATGTATATAAATTAGTTGATTTTAAAATAATTTAAATCAATTAACAATATACAAAATTTTACAATGACGATACATAGAAATTAAATTTTATATTTATATTTTAAAATCATGCATGTTAAATATGTATAGGTATCAAATAATGCAATAATTAATTTATATTTAATAATATATTATGTGTGTTATACATATTAGATTTAATAAATAAATTGTGTTTAATAAATATAATATTTAAAATATTATTAAATTTAATATTAATTTTCATTTAATATATATACATGAAAATTATATATCCAAAGTCAAACATTTATTAATTTTAATAAATACTATAATCAATAAACATAATATTTAATGTGATAATTAATTTAATAAAAGCGATCATTTATTAGCTGTAATAAATAATTTATAGTCAATAAATTTTTAATGCACTACTCCGACTCTAAATATAAACTAAAATAATAATTCATGTTAATTAAGAAAGTTTATCTATAAAAAAATATTTTTTTAATATACGAATAAAAAAGAACATTGAAAATACAATCTCAAATAAATGAAGGGTACTTTTGGAGATGGTGACATTAAATAGGGTGAAATTAATTGAGATTTACTTATATTTGGGACAATAAACATGAGATTTTTTGCATATATCACTTTGTCCCACAATAAGTGTTGTGTTAGATTTTTTTCACACCTAAATAAAAAAAAACTAATAAATAGATTAAAAATAGTAATTTTACAAAATTAACTTTGTTATTAATCTTATTTTTTTTTTAAAATGATGCAATGTAACAATAATTTTCTAATAAAATTATTAGAGATATAAATGACAAAGAGATAACTAATGTTACATTGAAAAAGTAAAATAACATTTATTTTGAGATTTAATTTTTCTCCTTACACAATATTTATTATGGGATGATGTTAATAATATATAGGTATTAACTTTAATATTAAATATTTTGGTGTTAAAAAAATGTATTAAATATTTTTTATTTATTGACGTATTATATGCATTAAGTAAATTTAATAAATATAATTTTAATAATATTAATAAATTTAATTATTTATTAGGTGTAATAAGTAAATGTACTAATTAATATTTCTTTTATTTCATAATAAGTGTCACATCAAAAGAAAAAATGAGTTTCAAAATAAGTGTCATATTAGCTTTTTAATATAGTATTAATTACATTTTTTTCATTTATTTCTCTAATAATATTATGTAGAGAAAGGTTTTTGTATTGTTTCGTTTCTAGCAAAAAAGATTAATCATAAGGTTTATTTTGTAAAATTACTATTCTTTTTCATTTATTTTATTAGTTTTTCTTAATCTATGTAAAATAATCTAGAATGACATTTATTTTGGGATAGAGGGAGTACTAAATAAGATAAAATAATATTTAATATTTATATAGTTATAAACTAGGTGTGGTAAATGAATTCATTTATCCATCATCCATTTAATTCATCTACAAGCAAATTCATCTAATCTATTCATTAAAATAAAAATAAATAATGAATTGGGTCCAATTTATTCATTTAATTTAATGAATAATTAGGGATCCATCCACTACTTTTTCAAAGTTCATTAGATTGCAATATGAGATGTTTATTGAATTGAAATTTTAAAAGACTATTTTGACATAAATAAAAGTCTTGTAAATTTTAAAAGACTATATAAGAATATAATGATTTATAAAGAAAAGAAAGAAAAATAAAATAAAAAGTATTTTAATTTTAAAATATTACTTTTATGGATGGTTTGGATATTCATCCATGAAAAAAATTGTTAATGAATAGATTCAATGGATTTTTTTGCTAGATTAGATGAATTGGATTTTTATATGAATATTTATTTGTTCCATAAATGGTTAATGGATTTTTTATTCGATCCATTATGATTCGCCTAAAAAAAACTATCTGATTCATCCATTTGTCACCCCTATTATAAACTACATTAATAACTATGTTTGGAAAATTAAACCGGTCAATCCGACTAACAAAATCGACTAGATAGAAAACGAGTAAAAATAAGCCAAGAATTGGTCAAAAACTAGTTAACAATGTAACATCCTAGAAAAATCGAAATGAGAGGGATCTAGAGGTTGTACAAGTATGAGATTAAGATCAACTTGATATCATGTATACATCTCTTGATAGCCTGTATAGACCACACAATGTCATAGAAGGATAAGATGAAAAGAGAAGGTTTGTGAGTTATTCCTTGAGTGTTTAATCTTGAGACTTTATTCCTACATGTGATATGAAACATGGATCTTGAATTGAAAGTGATGTGTATAACATTATGTTGTGTGATGATGTTATGATGATGATATAGTGTTATATGATATATGAAATGAATGATGATGTGATGTAATATTGAGTTGTAATGAAGCATTCTATGATGAGATATGGTTGAGTTATGAAGAGTTATATTGAGATATCATTGATTCATTGTGATGAATGTTGTGATGATACATATATATTATGAAAATATTAATGATGAGATATGATTAATAAGTCTAGTGTTGTGGACTAGCACTCGAGGAGTTGAGAATGCATTTGTGTGGCGAGTTGATTGTTTAAGTTAATGCATATCATGCTTTGTTTCATGGGATAGTGTAAGTCTATGTCGATGGGATATGGCAAGTCATCTACTTGTGTCTCGAGGGATGTTATGGTGGGGAAACCTCTATCGAGAATGGGAGGCTACCATGGCCAGTTGTAACACTTCGACAAGACCCTGATAGACACCCCTAAATAAGATAGTTCAAGGGTATCTGATACGATTTCTATAACGTAGGACCAATACTATCAATTTTTTATCTAAGAACAAAGGAAAAAAGCTCTCATAGTAAGAAACTAAAAATATGATTAATATTCAAATCTGATTTGGATGCTTACAATATGCTCCTATTTATAGGCTAAGATAAACAACCTATCACTTACATGTAGTAACTTTCCACTAAACTCCACTACTAGGCATTAAAATCTCACTAGTTCCCACTAACATTTATTTTCCACTAGGAAGCCTAATGACACTCAAAACTGACCTAGGCAATATGAAAAGTCATCTTAACTTATTTAATTAAAATAAAATACAAAAATAAAAATAAAATTAAGAAAATAAACTTAAATAACTTTTAAGCCCAAAAGTTATGTAATTCATCCAAATAAAGTTCAACCCACTGTAGCATCTCTAGTAAATAGTGTTGGGCTGATTGGAATCTTTAATTTATTATTTTTAACTTATTTTGATCCTCTTCTAGTCATTGGGTCTTCCATTAATTGAAAATCATATTTTTAAATAATAGACCTTGACAGGTTCTTATCATTCCCTCCCTCGTCGATGTGATTTGTCCTTAAATCAAATTCGTCTTCTTGCTTTGTATATGGATCCATTGTCTCATTGAATTGCTTTACCCATAGAATCTTTATGTACAATTCTTCTTTATGCATCAAGACAAAATAATTTATAGGATTAGGTTGAAAAGAAGAAATAAATCCACAATGAGTTCTTTCAATAGTTTTAGAAATTTGCACTTTTGAAAATTTGAATTCATTTTCCTTTGATGCTTTGCATTCCTTCTGTGGAACAACTTCATCAAAACCTTCAATAGAGAATCATTACTTGTAAATAAAGGGTTAAAACATAAAACATTTCATTCTTCTCCTTCCTCTTTCTCCTTTTCTTTCAACTGATTTTTTCTCATCGTTATTTCTTTTATTCCTTCATTCTCAATTTCTTTTGATTTCTCACACTTTTTTTTCTCCTTTGGTTGTGTCTATTTGAAAACTCCTCTTTATAACTGTGGTGCCTGGGACTTCCAGATTTAGATGCAAATTCAAGATTATCTAATTTTGCATTTAGGAGTTGGAATTGTGTTTGAAACTCCTTCATCAATAACTTGAGATCAACATCCATTTTTTTTCTTGGATTAAAGAAGATAAAAAGGTAAATGATAGATAACACCTGATTCAAAAGCTAAAGCTCTCATACCAAATGATACAATTTCTATAATGTAGGACCGTCTTGACAACAGATAGAGAAAATAAAAGGAACTTGACCCTAATTGCGACCCGTAGATAGAACCAAAGTTATAAATAAAAAAAAGAAGTGTGACCCTAATCACGATTGCTGGTAGAACTAACACTATCCAGTTCTTATCCAAAAACAAAGGAAAAAGCTCTCATAATGAGAAACTCAAAGAATAATTAATATTCAAATCTAATTTGGATGCTTACAAGATGCTCCTATTTATAGGCTAAGATAAGCAACCTATCACTTACATGTAGTAACTTTCCACTAAACTCCATTAGGCATTAAAATCCCACTAGTTCCCACTAACATTTATTTTCCACTAAGAAGCCTGATGACACTCAAAACTGACCTAGACAATATGAAAAGCCATCTGAACTTATTTTAATTAAAATAAAATACAAAAATTACAATAAAATAATAAAATAAACTTAAATAACTTTTAAGTCCAAAATCTAAGTAATCCATCCAAATAAAGTCCAGTTCACTATAACATCTCTAGTAATTGGTGTTGGGCTGATTAGGTTCTTCATTTTTAACTCTTTTTTATTCTCTTCTAGTCATTGGGCCTTCCATCAATTGAAAATTATATTTTAAAATATTGGACCTTGACAGGTTTCTATCATTAAACTATTCAATTGGGTGGTCCTATTCATTACTCTTAGGTTATTATGTACACTCGATGATGATAATGAGGAGGGATCCATTTACTTCAAGAATAAGTCTATCTAGACTTATTCCACTCAATAACTCATGTTCTATGTCAAACTTTAATGATTCAACTGTTGAATTAAAAGTTCTTAGTGCATAAATCAATTTTGCAAATTTTTAAAAATTTTGAAACCATTTAATACTCCATTTGCTCCATTATCCTTTTTCTTGATGTTGATGAATTCTTGACTAATATTTTCTTTTAGAAACTAACAAAGGACAATTTTTATAAGGCATCGAAAGTAGGAACTGAACCATTACTCAGTGTTTCCATAAACAATTTGAATCTTGAAGGAAGACACGTGTAATATGAGATTTTCTTATAAGGGATTATGAACAAGCAAATCGTACTAGAATTAAGCAACAAAATCTGAGGAGCTTCATATGTTAAATAAGTATCTTGGATAAGGTTATCAAATTTTAAGGCTTCTACTCCACTCAAAGTGAAGGTTCCTCCTTTGGTTCTTTGATCTACTACGTTTTCTTCCACAATAAAACAATCATCTACTCCACAATGGTAGTGTGAAAGGGACCTCAATTGCTCTTCCAACTTCTTAACACAAGCTTTTGCATTTGGATTCCTATAGCCTATGTCACAGCCTATGAAGTACTAATCCACCCACACTTGCCCTTACTAGTTATATACTACCTTAATATATTGAGGTCGCACTAGCAATAAACAACAATAGCCAAAAGCAAAACAAGCATAGCGACACAATAACGTTACATTAAGTTAAACAACATTCTATATTACAGTTCTCAAAACATCAAAGGCGAAATGTTTGAGGAACAATTCCTCATAGATCACAAACAATAGAATAAACAAGCTACTCTAGCTTGTCACAACAAAAGACTCATCCATGAGAAAACATCTTCTTGAAATAAACTATAAATATTACAAACAAAAAATATGCAAGGGGTACTACAATTGGTCACAGGACACTTAAGGTGCAAAATGTATTAACGTGGATAGTCTTTATAAATTATATTAAGGCAATTAGAACACTTGATATAGAAAACAAACAAAAAAATCAAATCCTAAAAGAAAAAAAAATAAAGAAATAAACTTTGAGTCAAAAACATGATTCTCAAAAAGACATAAACCAAGCAACAACTATTCTCTAGTCCTAATGTCATACTAAACAAAATAAGATCCATAAAAGTAAAACCAAAACTTTGAGCTTCACCTCCCTCAAGCTCAACCTCATTCACCTTTTCAACTCTTGCATGGTGTTCAACCTAAACAAGAAAAACAATAGCTGCAAAAACACAAGAGGGGTGAGATTATATCTCAAACATGTATAAGCACTACATATGAAGAATAAAGTTAATATCCAAGCACAATGTGCAACATCATTCATGCCAAATCAAACATCGTACAATCATTCTTATTCAATACACCAACTAACATTCCTTAAGGGCTTGTACAAACTCATGCTCCTAATTTTATATGCTTGTGGTAACAATCTCTAAAATCATAGTGGTGCATGGTCACCTCCCATACTCGTTACAGGATCCCCCTCAAAACACCCCTAAGGCCAAGGTAGAAAATCATAAAGACCTCCTGCATAGATTCACTACCACCTCCAAATGAATTTATGCATGAATACATGGACTCCAAACAACTTCACCAGTCACAAACAATAATAATTCATATGTTTAGCACCAATGTCACTGTGTTGCCAAACCTCCATTTGGACTTCCCCAAAAGACAAAGCCCTACCTGGATTTTCTCATCTTTTCACCAACATCACCTTGAATATCCCAAACAGATCAAATGTTGCACTAATGTTCTTAAACAAATCAACACACACATCTCATAATGTTTTGTTATCACAACTCATCACACACATTACGCATAAGCACCTCATACCACGCATTACCATCATCTCACATATCATCATTCACCAACGTCTCAAGTATGGTACACACTATTCTTAAGTCAAACATCAACATTTCATATCACATCACTCATAACCATTTCGTATCACATACAAACACACAGTCCCAATCACAAAGTCTTACAAACATAATTTCACATCTTCATCATAACCCATTAATCACTCATCAACAAATATACCCTCTCACACTTAATTAATTATTGGCATTATTATTTCAAACCATTCTCAAGATTAAACACTTTAAGGATAAAACAACTTTATATTACAACTCATAAACTATTTCTTCTTATCTTAAGCTTCTAAGACATTGTGTGGTCAAAACATGTATTTAGTGTTATACTAGTGATATCATGTTGAACCCAATTTTATTGGAAAGATGAGACAATTATCTACAACTTCTATGTTAACCTTAAGAGTTGATTTTACAATCTACTATTTTTAAAAATTACAAAACCGCAATATTTAAGCCTAAATCTAACATTTTGACTTTCGCTCACTAATTTGATTATAACTTATGTTCTAGACCTTTTTTTTAAGTGATTCTAGTGCCATTAGAAAGATAAAATCCAAGGATACAACTTTTATGAATTCCACAAAACTTAATTTGGTAATTGAAGGCACCTTAGAAGGCTTACAAGTTACATGTGTTACAAATTGCACACAAAATGTGAGATTCATACTATAATTCACATAACTCGATCATTTCTTAATATTTTTATGTGATTCTTGAGTCTAAATTGTAGTTCCAAGTGCCTTTTTTCCATCCCAATAAATGGAAATCTATTTGTTTAATCACACAAAGAGAAATCACTTCAATATTGAGGCATATTCTTACAAAAAAAATTCAAATAACAAATTACTAACAATTATTAATAAAAATAGGTATTTAATCAACTTTTAAGACATTTTAAATGAAAAAAGAAGAAACAATAAGCTTCCATTACATATTTAAATGCATAACATTCAAATCATACAAAATCCCAAATTCATAAACAAAAACCTTAACCCTCAAAGAGGCAAACACATGACACATGGTAAATTCACATCACAGTTCATGAAATTCGTCATCAATCATAGATAAACCACAAAAACAATTCATATTAACAACTATCTCATCAACCGCATACAATAATAAATCCTAAGGAGGCTTACAGTCAAGGTCATCTCACTACCAATATCCATCGTATGCTCCCACACAGTGAGACAATCTCATTCCCTCTCTTGCCTTAGATAGTGATCTCCAATGCATAGGCATGATCTTCATCATTCTGAGGCTACTCCACGCGTTCCTCGAGGTTTTCCTGTATAAATACTTTTAAGAGTTTTCAAAAAACTAGCATGTAATCTGACCTACCTCGTATTGTTTCTCTTTTTAATAGGACTCTGTGTTGGGCTCAAGAATCTAAATCCAAAGGTTCCTCTCAAACCTAAACTTATCTCTATTTTATTTTATTTATTAAAAATACCCTTTGTTTATATTATAATCTCAATTAAATAAATTAATTAAATTTATATTATAAATATTATTAAAATGATTTATTTATTTTTATTTTTGAAAAAACACAATGTTACAAAATATGTTATGAATAGATTAATAAAAGTGTTAAAAGCAATAAAAAAGAAAAGTTAGAGAGTATTGTATTGTGATTTATCCTAATTCAGTCATTAATTATGATCTACATCCAATCCTTAAGTCACACATGAAAATTCTCAACTAATTGATTATAGTTTATAATGCAAGAAGACTTTTAGGCTTCAAAAACCCTCTTTGATAACCCAACATCAAAATCTGTGACATTCTCTACCTCTTATGACATAAATTAACATAAATACATGTGTTTGTGAAAGAAAAAAAAAGTCATGCAAAATTTTTAAAATAAAGTAATTTTTTAAGGTGGACAAATGATTCACATTATAAACTAAACGAGTAGTCCAATAATTAAATAAAAGATATTTGAAATTATAAATAATAAAGTTTGGCACTCCAAAGATCATACAAATGTTTATAAAACCAAACAACAAGAATATAAATAACATGAATATCTAATCAAAATATAACATAAAAACTTAGCTCATATGTCTCGTCCTATCAAAGCATAGTACTTAAGACTTTAAGTAAATTGAGGCCTAAGCCTATCCATCAATATCAACAAACAACAAGGCATAATCATATATAATTATTTGCAACGACAATTGTCCTCGTGTTATGCAGTATTCTCAACTCTAGTCTAATGCACTATGTATGTGGTGCCAAGTTCAAAATCTCAAATCGTTCAAAAGCTCATAGAATAGCCTAGGAGTAAATGATAGGCAACCCAATCGCACTATGGGTGTTCAAAATTATCACTCTATGCTAAGATGAAGTACACTAGAAGCTCATTAGGGATCTAAAATCTTATAAGATTGCCTTGGTGGGATCAACATGTGCCTAAACAAGGATCTCAAACTAAGTACCCCGTGAATAAATCTCAATTCAATGCCATATTTAAACCAATAAATTGGTATAAATAATTCAACAAATACAATGTATTAAGTCACTATGTAACACCCCAAGTTTTGTTAATAAATATTAATATTTTGTATTTATATTTGTATTAATTAAGCCAATTTTAAAAAATATTTTTAATTATTAGAATACATGGTTTTTAATTAATTATATATTTTATTTTAATTTTAAGGAAAGGAAACTGTAATCGTGGGTTAATTATTTTACTATAAGGGTTAAATGGGAGTTAAGAGTTAAGAAAAGGGTTACATCAATTTTCACTTTTACACTTCTCATATTTCTCTTCTTTTTACACTTGTGTTCTGAAGAACTGGGAGAACTAGAGGTCGTGGGAAATCACCCTGGAAATCCATGTCCCTCTTCTAGCTTCCACCGAGATAAGGGGGATGAGCAGTCTCACTCTAAGCATGAGGTATATGCTGGGTAGTGAAGATTAACCTCCAATCTTTCTCTATTTATGTGTCATATGAGGGGAAATTCCAAGTTGTTACTTGTATTGTGTTCCTATCTTCCATGTGGTTCTTTAGTGCTCTAATCAATGATATTAACATGTTTGTATGTTTGATTTCAAGTATCAAATGAAACTTGTAGATATTGAATTACCCATGGGTTCTTGTGGGAACCCTAGGGAACAAATGTGTTGGGTATATGAGTAGCAATTGGGATGTTTATGTTCAAGTGTGTAAATATTGGCTTGTAGATGTATGTAATTGACCTATATAATGCTTTTACCAAATGGAATCATTGAATTGAAGTATGTGTACATTTCGGTGCGTCTTAGCTTTCTATAGGATGATAAGTTTCTAATACGACATTAGGCGCCACCTTGGGCTTGTCGGGCATAATCATGGACGAGAACAAAGTTTGCTCTCTATGCCATCCGCGTTGGGCATAGGTTGGTTAATGTCAAATGTGGGAGCTCTAGGGGCTCCTTATGGTGTTTTTGTTGAGTGTGAGTTAGGTCATATTGAGTGTTGTCTGTCCTGAGAGCAATGTGTGCTATTTGGATGCCTAACACCAGACATGGGGTGGTTACCATCAGGCAACACCCTATAATTCATGACTTTTTGTTTGTACATTGATGTATCATTTATAAGTGTATTTCTTGTACTGTTTAATACTAATAACTAGTTGTGATGTGTGGACATGCTATTAACATTATTGTGAGCCAAACATGAGTTGAATGATGTTGCACCATTGGTATCTTAATGTGTATTGATCTTATGAGGGTCATATAATGAGAAGTCTACGTCGAGGCTTAGCCATAATTTGAACATGTGATGATCATGAAAGAATATGTAGTTGTGAGTGTGTATTGTGATAACACGATATGGCATTGAGCCTTGTGTGACAAACATCACATGCATAACTATTTTTGGATGGATATGATATGGAATACGCTACCAGGGAAGATTCTGCTTATGTAAAAGCTTGTAGATCCATAACCTTGGGGATAGTTGGGTTTAGGAGCCTCAGTTTCGCCTATCTATGTGCATGGGGTGTATCTTACATGACATTGTTATCCCGGCAAGCCCTGGTGTCACTAGTGGAAAAAAAGCTTTTAAAATCGGTTATTTTCAACTTTTAAAATTGGTTCCGTAACCGATTTTAAAATAGCTGATTTTAAAAGTTAGATTTTTAAAATCGATTAAATAACCGATTTTAAAAGTTAACTTTTAAGATCGGTTGTTTTATAACCGATCTTAAAAGTCTGGGCTTTGAAAAAATTAAACTGGAATGGACCATTCCAAAACTGGAACAGGCCATTCCAGGTTGTTAAAAAGGCCTAAAATTATAGTTTGGAACGGGTCATTCTAGCATAGTTTGGCATGAGTTAAAACCAATCCAGAACGGGTCGTTCTCCTTGTAGAACGGGTCGTTCTCCTTCCGTTCCAGATTTAAAATTTACCCAAAATGAACCTACAACGAAAATAAAAACACTAGAAGAGCATGACAAGACGAAAAGAGACACGAGAAGAGCATGAGAAGACGAAAACGAAAATGACAACAAAATTTACCTTTTAGGAGACTTTAGAAAATGAGAGCGCGAGAGAGTAAAAAAAGGAATGGAGGGAAAGATTAAAGAGAATGAGAATGGAGGTAAATATAAAAGGTTTCTAATGATACTTTTAAAATTAGTTATTTAAGAACCGATTTTTTATACTACATACAAAATCAGTTCCTAAATAACTGATTTTAAACATAACACTTTTAAAATCGGTTCTTAAATAACCGATTTTAAAAGTAGCACTTTTAAAATCGGTCATAAAATAACCGATCTTAAAAGTGTTCACATTATTTACAAAATTGCCACCGCGTGACTTTTAAGATCGGTCATCTTTTAACTGATCTTAAAATCTCGATTTTAAAACTAATTTTTGCACTAGTGTGTATCTCCTCCTAATGTAGAGTGCAATGATGATATGACCCGACATCATTTCCTAGACTACTTCATGTATTATCATATGGCAATGCAATGCAGTGTGATTTTTATTGGAGTCACATGCATTCCCATGGAATCCGTGTTCATTGCATTATGTGTGTGAAGTGAAATTGTGTGATGAATCATTAGTACTTTTGTTTTGGAATATATTATATTATTATATGTGTGATACCTTGTTATTGTGATAAAATTGTTTATACGATGTCTTGTTATTGCTATGTTCTAGTTACCTTATTGTTCTTGTTGTGTGTTTGATTATCCAACTATATCATGTACCATGAGTCAGAATGAGATATTTTTCACTCTCCATTTCTTGTGTTTGTTTTATGTGAATGTTGTTGTAGGTAAAACTCAATATGATGGTGATGATGTTGGAGATGAGGTATACACCTTACCTTGGGTTCATGCTATAATAGGATGTGACATCAAAGCTTAGTTAGGATTTGAATTCTGCTATATGTTCATGTTTAGGACGATTATTAGTCTCCGTTGTTATTAAATTTCAGTAAACATTAGGTTGGCATATTGTTTTCGATTAGTATGTAATGTGATATCTTTTCATTGGACATATGTTATTTCTATAGTTATGAATTCATTTCTATTCAACTTCTAAATAGTGTTTAGTATGACATGTGGGATAATGGGTGTCCTATACTATATTTAAGAGAGGTAAAGAAAAGAGAAGTTGGGTTGAAATGACATATTTCTCATGCTATCAACTTTTTCTTTTGTTTAGCTTATACCACCAATTATCACGTCAATAACTTTCCTTTTAACGAATTAGGTAATATTTATTTATTTTTATATATATAAAATGATGATTTTAAAATTTAAAGTTGAGTGAGGGTATTAGATTAAAATTTTAAAAGATTTTTTTTTAATTAAAAATTTATGTTATTCAACTAAGACTTTTAATTATATAAATAAATTTTATGATATTCAATCATCACTATCATAATTTTTTAAAAACTGTTAAATCCTAGTGATATTTAATTTAAAAAAAATCATTTAAACAAAGTCTTATATTTTAATGGCGAGAGTAGGAATGCATAGTTTATCACGTAGGCAAAGGAAGTAAATCACATTGCTTATTTTATGGATAACGTAATCGTAATGTTTGTGGCATTTTCCTTCTCAAAGTGTATCTACCCTCTTACTAAGAGATAGGGTAGAGTAGTTTGTTCACGGTAATTTTCCATTCACAAAAAATTAAGAAAAAAAATCTTATAGTATTTAAAAATAAGCTTAAATATATTTTTAGTTTCTTAAATTTAAGATAAATTTATTTTTAATTTTTTAAATTTTAAATTAGTCTTTTTAGTCTTTAAATTTTTAAAAAATATTATTTTATTTTTTATATTTAAATTTTGTTAGTAGATATGTCAAATATTATCACATAAAATTTACTTATTAATATCTTTATTAGTGAAAATATTACATTAAATTCAATTAATTCAATTAATGTTACATAATTGTCTCAATATATCACTTTCACATATATTATTGATGACTTAAAAAACTAAAATAAGATTTTGAAAATTACAAAAACTAAAATAACAGTTTTAAATTTGAGAGGTCAAAAATAATTTTATCCTAAATTTGAGAGATTAAAAACATATTTAAGCCTTAAAAATATATAGATTTTTATGAATTATTTTATAAGATGATTTTTGTGAATTTTTTTAGTAAAATTTATAAACACTAAATATGTCTAACAATCTTACTCAAACCTTTAAGATTTAGTATTTTTTTTTCCTTCATTTTCTTTGTTCTCTCTCGCCTTTTCCTCGTTATGCTTCTCTCTATTTTTTAGTTATGATATAAATATAAAATATTCACTACTAAAAATAATAATTAATTTTTGACGAAGATTGTGAACATACACAAAATGAGTATTTCTCTTCCAACACAATTTATTTCATAATCTGAATTTGAACCTTTAACAACTTGGTTAAAAAATACAAGTTGCTACAACTTTTACTGATCAATATTTATAACTTATAACTTATCTCCATTTATTCACTTTTTTCTTCTCTTCTCTCTCATCTCATCTCTTTTCTCCTTTTTCTTTTTCGTCTCTCTCCATTTTCTCTATTTTTTTTTCTATTATTTCTCTTATCTATCATCTCTATTAATAATATTTTATTTAAAAATTACTAATAATTATTTTGTATTTATTAATATTTAAAATTATTTTTGGATTACTAAAAAAATTTATAATAATATATAAATTAAAGTTTTATTGGGTGGTTTTGTTGTTTAAAATAGAACGTACTGTGAGCTTATATGCTTTGATTCTGATGTTCATTTTTCAGGTTTGACAAAAGAATCACTGCGTTTGCTGAAGATAAGTTCCGAAGAGATGGTATTGATGTGAAAACAGGATCCATGGTTGTGAAGGTATCTGATAAAGAAATTTCTACTAAAGAAATGAAAAATGGAGGAGAAATTACTACAATTCCATATGGAATGGCCGTCTGGTCAACTGGTATTGGCACTCGTCCATTTATAAGAGATTTTATGTCACAAATTGGTCAGGTATGTCTATGGGAAATTTTCCATTATAGTTGTTCTGATTCAATATTCTAGATCATGTTTCTCTTTTAGTGTTTGTATTTATTTTTCAGCAAATAAATTATACATTCATTTATTATTTACTCGACATTGATTATTCTGCACAGACTAACAGACGCGCCATAGCTACTGATGAATGGTTGAGAGTTGAAGCAACTAACAATGTGTATGCACTTGGTGATTGTGCTACAATAAACCAGCGAAAAGTCATGGTATATTATACTATTTCTCCATCATTTATTTAATTAATATTGGACATTATTAATTAACCTTTATAGTTTATACACTTGGCACACATCTTGGTTAATAACTCTATGGGTGAGCAAAACCCAACCCATTCACGGATCCAACATGTTTCCTTGTTGATTTGGATGGATTTAGGTCTTAAAATTAAACTCAATATAATTTTCAAGATGGATTCGAGTTATGCTTGTGTTGTCCCAAATTGTCCTTCATTCTTTAAAAATGTATAAATTTTTAAAATAATTGTGTATTAATAAATATATAATATTTTGTATAACATTATATGATATTTATTATGAAATTATTTATTTTAAAATATATACTTCAAAATATACTTTAATTTAAGTTTTGTATCACTTTTGTTTCATAATTTAACTATACATATTAATATTGATATATTATATTGACTTAAAAACATTGATTGACTTGGTTCCATCTCATATATTTGGAGTCTTGATTAGATTAGGTTTGGATTTAAATAAATAACCCAATTAATTTTTTGGACCGGGTAAGAACAAGGCTAAACCTGTCCCAATCCGTCCTTTGCTCGCCTCTAAATAACACTGCTCCCCAGTACTTATTACCTTGCCAAGCTAGCTGAATGTTTCATAAAGCTAAATCTATCACAGTCTGGGACTTGTATGATGTTATTGAAATTTCAAATGTTATCTTTCTTCTTGTTGTGGATTATTAATTTGGGTTCTGGCATTTCAGGAAGATATCGCCGCAATATTTAAGAAGGCTGACACTGACAATTCAGGGACTCTTACTGTCAAAGAATTTCAGGAGGTGTTGGCTGACATCTGTGAGAGATACCCTCAGGTGGAGCTATATCTAAAGAGTAAACAAATGCACGACCTTGCTGATTTGCTGACAGAGTCCAAGGGAGATGTTAAAAAAGAATCCGTTGAACTCAACATCGAAGAACTCAAAACCGCACTCTCTAAAGTGGATTCTCAGATGAAATTTCTTCCTGCTACAGCGCAGGTGCATGTCATGTTATTTGCATGATGTAACATTATATTATCCGATTTTGTCTCCTCAATGATATATGACTTGGGGTGTCTGAAATTACTTATCAGGTTGCATCTCAGCAAGGCACCTACCTGGCCAAGTGCTTTAACCGGATGGAAGAGTGTGAAAAAAATCCAGAGGGTCCAATCAGGTTCAGGGGAGAAGGGCGCCATCGCTTCAAACCCTTTAGGTAGAAAATCATATTAGTTTACTAGCTATGCTTTTGTGTGCTCTTACCCTTGACATGATGATGAAATGATTCAAGGTTTCTCATTGGTTGGTCAATGCGTTGCTCATTACTAACTGCATGGTTGATTGTTCCTCAAGGTACAAGCATTTGGGTCAATTTGCTCCTCTAGGAGGAGAGCAAACAGCTGCACAGCTTCCTGGGGATTGGGTTTCAATTGGACACAGTTCACAATGGCTGTGGTATTCTGTCTATGCAAGGTAGTGAGTTTCCTTTTGCTTAATATTTCATTTTGAAACTAAACATTCATAAGGCATTCTTATTATCAAGTTACTAAAGTTTCATCCAATGCTTTGAACAGCAAGCAAGTCAGCTGGCGCACAAGGGCATTAGTAGTATCAGACTGGACAAGACGCTTTATTTTTGGGAGGGACTCCAGTCAAATATGAAAGAGATTCAACATTTTTCCAGGAGTCTTGTAGTGCGATATTGCAGAATGCAGAGCTCGTCAATCTTGAATTTATGTTGATATAGAGATGTTTATTCTCCAATTCCTGATTCTTTGAATAGCAAAAGCAGACTCCCTGCTGGGATTTGTGATCACTGATCATGCTTTTGTCAGTTTAAACTTTTTCATGTATGAATTTTTTATATACCCCTTCCGCTTTTCTTTCTTGCTTCTGGAATTGAAATTGCGGCATTTGTGAATCTCCGAGTTTTGCTTATTTATTTCGGAGATGTTCGGTGATGTTAGTTTATGACCTTAATCATTCGAGTTATACTGACTGAATGCTTTTTAATATTTTGTCATTCTTTGAATTTCTGATCAAGGGAGACGATTGCTTTGTTGGAACGAGCTGGGGCAGTAACCTCTCTCTCTCTTTAGCTTTCAATAAATACACTTCAAGAAAATAGTGACATACACTTTATAAAAAATAGTATACATGTCAATAAAAATTATTTTTATTCACATTATAATTATAATATATGTTGGTATATTATTAAAACGTGTGGATATAGGCTATAGTGACATACAAAATATGTTGTTAAATCTTATTTAAAATCAATATTAAAATTGTGTGTAACTATATGTTAAATAGACATATACCTATATATATTATACTAATAGTAACATTTTTTTTTTATTTTTTGTATGTCATTATATATAACATTTATTGTAGTGATAAAAGGTTATTTCTAAATAACCTAATGACCGAAAATATATGTGGAAATAAGATTATTAATTAAAAAAATTAATCGAAAATAATAGCTTAATTAGGTTTTCATATTTAATAACCTAGTTACTTTTAAATAAAAATATATAGTCTGAATTTGATTACTTTCAACATTATTTAAGTAACTTTCAGTAAAAAGAATTTAAATATTTCTGAATAAAAACGTTGAGAAATTAAAATTTGAATATATATATAAATGTATTACGAAATATATTTTATATTTGAAAAACCTAAATGAAATTGATTTTTTTAATAAAAATAGAAAAATTACAAGATAATTGCAATAGGAATCAAATCTATATATAAAAAAGGTATATATATATATATATATATATATAAATGGAAGTAGTAATAAAATCGGAAGTATCAAGTATATATTTGTCTTAAATATTTGAGAGACTTTTATAACTCATTATAATCCAGTTTTTTCCTTCAAATATTAGCGAAGTTGAATATTAAAGCCTCGAATTCAAAATCATTCATCTGAATCAATTTCGTGTTAATTATGTCTGGTAGTATACATATTTAAGATGATTTATTTATTTAATTTCTATGAAAGAATAAATACAAGATTTTCACATTAAATGATGGTAAATTGGTAATCAAGTTCATCTTAATATTTTTTTTATTGGGAGAAGAGAAATAGGTAAAGAGAAATAAAGAAAATAAAAATAAATTAATTCTTATATATTAAACATCAAATCTTACATAAGAGTGCTTTTAGGAAAAAAAATTAATAAAAGGATTTTTTTTTAAAATTAACTTATTATTTAATTAAATGTTAAAATTTAAAAATAAATTATCAATAAATAAAAATATTACAATACAAGTTATTTATCATAAATATAAAATTTAATTTATATATTTAAATATAATATTTATTTATATATAAATTTTAATTATATATAATAAATATACATGTGTATTATATTGACTAAAATACTAATAATTAGAAATATGAGAAGAAAAAAAAGATAAAAATAAATTTGTTTAGCTTAAATAGATGGAGAGAAAAAAACTTATAATTAAAAAAATATATTATTTTACCGTTTCAAAAAATAACTACATAATACTTAGAATTATTGTTTTATTACGTGCAATCCCTTAAATTCAAACTTCATTCTATAAAAATTGTTGTATTCGAATACAAACAAACTCCTATTCGAATATAAAATTGCATACTTTACATTTAAATACAATAACTTTTCATTTTAATATCATAATTTTTTTATTAGAATATCATAATTTTTCATTTGAATAAGATCCACACCTTCATGCTTGTTAAACCATTTGAATCCACATTTGTATAACCCATTTCGAGTCTATTTAACTGCGAAAAAAATAAAAAGTAGATATAACCCAGACTGTTTTTTTAATATATTATTTTTTTTATGGATCATGATATATACACCTATTTTTTTTGTAAGTACACCCTCTTTTTATAAAAAAAAATATAATTAAATTTTTAAAATATCTTTAATTTTTATTTTTTTAATTTTTTAATTTTACACTCCTAACATTTAATTTAACACTCTTTTTTACATACCTTTTTCCCTTATTTTCACATGCACTCCCTTAATTTTTTTTCACCCCACCTATTTTGATAGGTAATTTTAATTCTTTTAGTTATACATTATTTTTTTTCCTTCCTCTTTCAATTTTTTCATTGATTTCACTACCCGCATAGTATTCTAAAATAGTAAAAATGTCTTTTTCATAACACTAAACTTAATGTTAAGGTTTTTGGAGGGGTGAAAATAAAGAAAGTGTTGGAAGAAAAAATGTGTGTCTAGTTTGATAGAAACTGTCGAAGAAGCTACACATACCTACAATGTTGTTGCCTACCAGTTCGATAATTTGGGTGCATGTGAAAAAGTGAAAGAGATGAGAAAATAAGAGAGTAAAATAAAATTCAAGAGAATTAAAACTACCCATTGAAATAAGTGATGAATTAGAGGAAGATAAGATGGTGCATGTGAAAACCGGAAAAAAGAAAGAAGAAGCTGTGTGAAAAGAAAAAATAGTAAATTTAAAGTTAGAGATGTAAAATTAAAAATTTAAAGAATAAAAAAAAATTATAGATATTTTAGAATTTTTTTGAAAAAAAAAATAAAGGAGGTGTACTTAATTAAAAGAAGGAGGTGTATATATCATTATCCTTTTTTATTTATTTAAATAACTTGAGCCCATTATTATTTATGTAAATAACTTGTTTTTGAAGCCTAGGTGAGAAATCGGTTACTAGGTAACCGATTTCTCAAAGGGTTTTTTAAAATAAAAATTCAAAAAACCCTTTGAGAAATCGATTACCCAGTAACCGATTTCTCTATTGGACTTTTTATTTCTTCGTTTTTTGGTTTTTTTTCTTTCAGATTTTTGGGCTTTTTTTTCGTTTTTTGTTTTTTTTTCTTCATATTTTTGAATTTATTTTTTCATTTTTCTCCAGATTTTTCAGAATTTATAAAAAATTTATAATTAAAATTAATTTAATTTATTTATTAGAATATAAAAAATATATTTATTATTTGAATTCAAATATTTTTTAAAATATTGGTTTTTTTAAAACAAAATATCTAAATAAATGTAAAAAAATAAAGTATAAAAAATATATAAGTAATATAATAAAGGAATATAATTTAAAAAATTAATATAATTTAAACAAATTTATTTTATTAAAAAAGAAATATAATTAAAAATTAGAGATAATTTAATTTAAAATTCACAAATAAAATATATATTAAAATAGATATTATAATAATGAAATTATATTTTTTAAATATACAAAATTTAATATTATTATTTAGTAAATCATTTGTTAAAATTATACATATGTTAATTAAGAATGTCATTGATTTACTTGCGTCAGAAATCAAATGCTTTAGTGATAAGTGTCATTGATGTAGTGTGTCATTGATGCAGTGTGTCATTGATGCAGTGTGTCATTGATGAGTGTGTCATTGATGTAGTGTGTCATTGATGTAATGTGTCATTGATGCGGTGATTAGGGTTTCAGAGTGTAATTGATGCAGTGTTTAGGGTTCAAGAGTGTAATTGATTAAACCCTATCTCCACCTTCTATTTAAATGACACAATTCTTGGGTTCAAATGTAGAGTGTAATTGAGTCAAGTATTCTTTTTTCCGTGTGTTATTCTTTGTCTACAACAATGTCTTCCTCTTCTTTCTGTGTGTTAGTCTTTTCCAATGGTGAAATCACTCAAACAAATGAAGGGGATACTTTTGTATCCTCTAACCCAATGTTTTTATCAGTTAGTTCATGTATCACACTTGATGCGTTGAAAGCTAAGATCCAAAGAAAACTCAACTTACCACAACCACATTCAGTTGATCAACTTTACTTTCGATATCCACAAGTGGTAGGCGGAGGAATGCTTAATTTCTGAGCTATCAAGCTTACCGATGATGAAGACGTTCATGGTATGATTCAAATGGTTCGTGGCCTTAAACTTCGTACTTCTACTCAACTATATGTGGATCTCACACCAATAAATTCTTCCTATGAAAACCAACCTTCTTCATATGAAAATCAACCTTCTTTCTATGAAAACCAACCTTCTTCATATGAAAACCAACCTTTTTCCTATGAAAACCAACCTTCTTCATATGAAAACCAACCATTTTATTATCAAAACCAACCTTCGTTAGACGAATTTCATACGCATGGATCCTTTACCAACCTCCTTACATTTGGAGTCCCACAAGAAGAAGAAGAAGAAGAAGAAGAAGAAGGAGTCCCTGAAGTTGGAATTCCTGAAGAAGAAGTTGGTTCTTTCAGTGAGGGCGAAGATGATGAAAGACTCCAACAAGACAATGAACAAGATCGTCTTCTACAACAACCTCAGCACGTAAGCACATTCAGTTTCCCATCACACATGCATAATGTTGATTTACAAAAAGATTTCACCGACCCAGAGTATAGACATGCACTTGACCATGTTGACGTCAAGTACACTCCTGACAGCCTATTTGAAGGCAGAGTGGATTTTATTACTAGAAGCCAAAAATGGGAGGTTCGTAAGCTATCAGGTGAACATTCTTGTTCATCCCCTATTATCACACAAGATCATGTCAACCTTGGCTATGTATATATTAGCAAAAGTATTCTTGCTTTGGTGGAGACTGATTTATCAATTTCAATTCCAACAATAATAGCACACATCAAAAGTGCTAAAGGGTACACAATCTCATACCGCAAAGCATGGATGGCAAAGCAAAAGGCAATTGAAGACTTACATGGCAACAATCTTACCATGATTTACCCAAGTTGCTCAATGCCATGACAATATTTCTTAATAGATTTGTTGTTGAGAAGCAAACAAGGCCACTATACAACCAACAAGGTGAAATTGTTCATGATTATGTTCAATTCCATAGAGTATTTTGGACATTTAAACCTTGTATTCATGGGTTCAAATACTGTAAGCCCATTGTTCAAGTTGATGGCACATTCTTGTATGGAAAATACAAAGGAACTCTCCTTGTGGTAGTGGCTCAAGACAGTAACAATAAAATCTTTCCAATTGCCTTTGCAATTGTTGAGGGTGAAACAGCAGATGCATAGTTTTTCTTTCTACATTATCTCAAAAGACATGTTTGCCCCAAGATGGCTTTTGCTTAATTTCTGACAGGCACGAGTCAATAAAAAATGTCTACGCTAGACAAGGCAGTGGTTGGACAACGGAGAATTCAGTGCATGTGTTTTGTATTCGCCATATTGCCCAAAACTTCATGAGACATTTCAAGAATGCATAACGAAAAAAATTAATCATCAACATGGGTATCTACTTCTTATCATTAATTATTTTTATTTGTTTGACCATATTTTGACAATTCTAAATTGTTCATTTTTTGTTAATCTCATTTCACAGCTTATGGGATGACTGAGCCAAGATTCAATTACTACTACAACACACTGAAGAGCGAACCAGAAACCGAAGGTATAATTGAATGGCTCAACACCATACCAAAAGAACAATGGACTCTTGCATGGGACGATGGAGACACATGACTACCAACTTGGCTGAGGCAATTAATTCCATTTTTAAAAAAATAAGAAATTTGCCAATTTATGCAATTATCATGTCGACTTATAAGAGATGTAATGCCTTATTCATCTAAAGGGGGAAGGAAGTCGATGCTAAACATAGGCTGACCAACTTTATACTAAAATAATCAATAGGGCCATGAGAGATACATAATCAAAGACTAATAGTCATCATGTCCTTGAATTTGATCGTCACAGTACACGTTTTCTGGTACAAGAGACCATTAACCCAAGGGAAACACAACCAACTAGAAATTTCACGGTTAGACTATATGACAATTGGTGTGACTGTGGAAAATTCCAAAAGCTACACATGTCATGCTCCTATGTTGTTGCTGCATGTAAGCATGTTCACCACATTACAAATCTTGCATAGATCAGGTATACACATTACAGTATGTTTCAAATGTGTATAACGAATTATTTGGTGAACTACCCAATGAATCTTATTGATCGGATTGTGAAGAACTGTAAATCATATCAAATCTGGAAAAGATTAGAAATAAAAAAGGTCGTCCAAAGTCATCCAGAATACGCACTGAAATGGATATGTTTGAACCAGGACAACTAAAAAGATGTTATCTATGTAGGAATGTAGGTCACTCCAAAAAAAAATATTTTTACTGTCAAGAGAGTTCAAGTCAACAAACTTAAATTGATAATCAAATGTTATGTTTTTCAAAAATTTCATGTTCTGTAATTTCATGTTTTTAAAATGTTGTACTTTGTTTTTACCATTTCTAATATTTAATATAAAAATATTGTCATTTATTTAAAATTTTATTTAATTATTAAATTTTATTCTTTAAAAATTATTTAATTTAAATAATAAATATATTTTTATATTCTAAAAACTTAACTAAATTATTTTTAAAAAAAAAATAGTATAATCCTTTTAAAAAACTGAAAATTAAAATTGAAAAACGAAAAAATAAATTCAAAAATCTGGAAGAAAAAAAACAAAAAACAAAAAAAAACCCAAAAAATATGGAAAAAAAAACCAAAAAATGAAAATAAAAAAAAGCCCAATAGAAAAATCAATTACCAATCGATGTCTCAAAGATTTTTTGAAATTTTCACACCTAGACCTCAAAAATAAGTTATTTACATAAATAATAATAAGCCTAGGTTATTTAAATAAAAAATAATAATATATTAAAAAAAATCTCTCTATATCACATCTAACAATTTTTTACGAAACAAACGTACTTATTTTTTAATCTTTATCGTAATTAGTGAGATTCAAACACTTATAATTTCTATATTTATTTAAAAATATTTAAAAATTAATAATATTTATTAAATTAACTAATATTACATTTAATCCTTAAATTTTAATATCTTAAATTTAATTATTGAATTTGTAAAAATAATTAATTTTAAATATGATTTTTTATTATTTAGAAATTCAATGAAAATATGTACATAAAAAAGATAAAAAGAGAGAATATTTTGTATATTGGTATATACGCTGTGTTCTGTTCGCTATTTGGATACTAATTTTATTCAACCAAACGCAGCACAAAAGAAATGGAATGACGGAAACTATATAATATATTCCATCTGGTTTAAATTAAAAAAAGAAAATTGTGGGGAAAAAGAAAGATGAAATTTTAACGGTGATGATGCGGCTAAGAGCAGACAGAGCCAAGGGGCCCTTTATCCGAAACCATTGATCAAATAAATCGAACCAAAACGCAACACAACGTGTCGTTAAGCCTGCCAACTTCGCTGCACGTGCGGGCCCCACCACCTACCTTAAACGACTCTTAAGTCTTATCCATCCTACTTTTCCACGACACCACAACAATTCGCCGCGTGTCTGCACATGATCACTTTCCCACCGTCTGATCTCACCCACGCCTCATCACAGCCATGCAACAAAAATTCCACGCTATCCATAAAAAAAATTCAACTTTATCTATTCTCTCACTCTTCACTCTTCTCGTTTATTTATTTATTTATTTATTTTCTGTTCCCATTTCAGACCCGCGACTTTACACGTCGATGCTGCATCACTTGTGGATAAAGGCGCATCCTTTTTCTGAATAAAGCGTTTTTCTCTTTCATTCAGGAAACCTAGGGAACGCACAGAGGTTTTTCTCGTTTTTCATTTGTTGTGTTTTCTGAAGCGAAAATGGCTGAGGTTTTGACCAAGGCGAGTTTGGTTTCTTCATGGCGTCGTGGGGATGGTCAACAGCAGTATCATCATCATCGAAGGGTTCCCAAGAGTTGTAGCTTGGTTTCTGGGGTGGGAAAGTTCCCTTCTTTGAAATTGAAGTCTCAGATTGTCAGATCTTCGTCCTCTTCTTCTGAGTTTCAGGGTAAAAAGCTTGTCTTGCATGGAAATAGAGGAATACCCGTCAGGCTCAATTCGCGATTGAGACCTTCAACGGGGCCTCAGGTTTGTAAAATTTCTACCCTTTTGGGTTTTCCTCTAAAACTCAATTTATTTTTTAATTTTTGGGTTTTTTTTTTTGTATTTTTAAGGAATTAAGTCGCTTTTGGCTTGTGGGGATTTTTTAGTTTTCTTGAAAAGTTTTTTTTCTTTTTTTGCCTTGGGAAGATTTTGTGATTTCTCATGGGTTGTTTGGAAATTTATTACGGAATCTTGTAGATTACCCTTTGAATTTAGTTTATTGTATGATTCTTAGTTTTTTTTTAACGAATTAAGTCCCTTTTTGTTATTGGGAATTTTGTTAATTTTCCCGATTTTTTTTTTCTAAATTGCTTTTATTTTATTTTATTTTATTTTATTTTGGGAAGATTTTATGTTTTTCCCATGGGGTTTCTAGAGCTTATGGAATTTTGCAGACGACCCTTGGAATTTATTTTATAATTTTTGGGTATTTTTGTCTTCTCCAAGGAACTATGACCCGTTTGATTGTTTGAAACTATGTTAATTTTCCTGAGAACTTTCCAAGTTGCTTATATTCTATTTTGGGAAGATTTTGTGTTTTCTCATGTGATTTCTGGAATTTTGCAGATGAACCTAAGAATAGGGAAAGTTCAGAAATGGTGGGAAAAGGGGCTTCAACCCAACATGAGAGAGGTCACTTCAGCAGAAGATCTTGTGGAATCACTGTTAAACGCAGGGGACAAATTGGTGGTAGTTGATTTCTTCTCTCCTGGTTGTGGTGGCTGCAAAGCCCTTCATCCTAAGGTATTCTTTACCCCCTTGATCTATTTCACAGATCAACCCACATGACATTTTGTGATTTCATGATTGGCTAATGTGTGTAGTTGTTCTGATGTTCCTTGGTTTGTGGTATGGCAGATATGTCAATTAGCAGAGATGAATCCTGATGTTCAGTTCCTTCAGGTGAACTATGAGGAGCATAAGTCCATGTGTTACAGCCTCAATGTCCATGTTCTTCCATTCTTCCGCTTTTATAGAGGTGCTCATGGTCGATTATGCAGCTTTAGCTGCACCAATGCCACGGTTAGTGTACATGCTATGTCAATTTTATATTTCATATCTGGCTTGATAATATTATGCCTAATTTGGTTAATTCATATTATGCTTGTGTGAGATCTGGGTGGCACATTTATGCCTTTTGTTTTGTTCAGGAGATTTGACCTTCCTTTTTCACTGAAGAATGTTTGTATTCAAGTTTAGAAAGCTTTCTTACTGGAAAAAGCTCATTAATTTTTGTAAATAAACTCTCAAAAGCTCTTATAAACTTGTATTCAAATAGATTCTAACTCAACCACTATGCAAAATTGGCATTTAACTAATTGTTCATTATTGCATTATCTCTATTTTAGCTCTTTAGGATAAAAGTAAGATTATATATTTGAGGAATTCTGTCAAACTGAGATCAAAGATTAACATTTGTTGCACTACTTGAATAGTAGATGTTGAAATGCATGTGTTAGCTGGAGGATAAGTTCATGTATTATGTTGCTTCATGGTAATATGATATATTCCTTAACAACATTCCATCGAAGGTAACTCATAAAGTTTGATTTAATTACAGATCAAGAAGTTTAAAGATGCATTGGCCAAACACACCCCAGATAGGTGCAGCTTGGGCCCAACCAAAGGGTTAGAGGAGAAAGAGCTCCTTGCTCTCTCTGCCAACAAAGATCTTTCCTTCACCTACTCACCAAAACCTTTACAACCTGCACATGCCCCCACAAATGAAGAGTTTTCAACCAAAAATGCTCCTGCTTCTTGTTCAGGATCTCTTCCTTTAGCTTCATTGACCCTTAATTCTGAGGTCTTCAAGGAGAGAACTTTGATCACTTCTGGGAGATGACGTGGTCAGCTTGTAAGCAAAACCACTCTTCTGACTCCATCCCTTGTACAGTGTAGATTTGGTTTGGTGTAATATCTTCATGTAGTATATTAGTGAGAATCATTGAAGATCAAGTTATAGATAGTAGTATCAATATGATAGTGTGTATTCCTCCGAGGCATGTCTTTTTGGATCCATGCCTTGCTGAGATTTGGGAAATTGGAAGCTGTAGAATTGTTACTTTTTTTGTGTGTTTGAGGAATTGCTTCCTATTGTAAAATGAATGTCATTTTTTTCATCAATGGATATTTTGTTTCTATTTCTGAACCAGTTATTTCTTGAATATTTAATTTTTCCCCAAGTTTTGTATTTTTGTATTTTTCTAGATGCTGAAATAAGATATGAGGTATTGTGGTTCTGAGATCCCTGTTTTGATTTGAGGGAATTGTGGTGGAGTTTCACTTTCCTTTGAGGGAAGGAAAGGGGATGGACTATTTTTGTTCACATGCTTGGTTGGTAGTTGAAAAGGGGATAATCATCTTAAAGGGAACGAACGTTCATATCAATATTGTGTTGGTAAATAATATTAGAGTAAATAATAGTAAATTACATTACTCTTTTTGATAAATATGAGCATTATAAAGTCTTTCTGTTTTATGTTAAATATATAACTTAACTTTCCAAAAAAATATATATAGTTTTTGTATTATTCTCCTTTTATATATTAAAATATAAAATAAATTAAATTTTTTTATCTCTCGGGACGATTACGGAATAAAGCTGTATTTCTAAAAGTCATATTTTTATGAATATAACTCAAAATGTTATTATTAAGAATATAAGAAAAGATACAGATTATTTAATATTCTTAGAAATATTTTTAAATTTTTAAAATAATTTAAATAAAAATTAAATAAAATAGAAGTTACAAGAATTATAAATAAAAAATTCAATGAAAATATCAAATACTCACTTTTTCATCATGGAAATAAAACTCTATTTTATGAGAATAAAAGATATCTTAGATTGATGTTGCACAACATTATAATAAATGACGAAATAAATATTTTTATTTTCATATTTTGAAAATAAAGAAAGATGACATGAAATAAATACTCTTTAGAAATATGAGTATTGTATTATCATTCTTTTATTATATTAAAGTATATAATTTAAAGTATTTAAATTAATATTTTTTAAAAATATTCTTTGCAATTAATTTTAGAAAATTTATAATAATTCTAAAATAATAGTTAAATATGTAAATCAAGAAATAAATTGTTAAAATGTAATATTTTTATTTATTATGAAATAAAAATGTCTACTTAACATAAAATAAAAAGATAATGTAGTATTTATATTTTTAAAAGGATGATAATAACGCGAAAGGTATTTTGACAATAACTTTGCAATAACGAAAGTTAACAATATATTAACGAAAAATTATAAAAAATAGTGTTATATATTAGAATTTATATAATAATAATAAAAAGACTAAATTTTAACGTACAAGAGGAATGCATTATAACATTCGTATTTATTGAAGAAAAACGTAATTTTATTAATTTGAACTTCAAATTTTTTACAAGTTATATTAAAAAGAATAGTAAATAATATTTTGTAAATTATTCATGTATTTAAAAGAAACGACTATTTTGTGAAATTTAATATTTCAAGTGTTAACTTATTTTTGAGAAAAATATATTTTATGTTATTATTCAATACAAACTATTATGTATGGTAAAATTTTTTACTTTAATAATAATCACCCAAAAATTACACTAAAACTAATTTTTTTATTGATTAATTCTGCGAAGTCTTTTCTATTAACTGTGCATAGTTGGATACTCATTAAACTATTTATTTTACAAGAATTTAATGAATATTATTAACATAATTTTTTACGCAAATAATGAAATCAAATCATATTTATATATATATATATATATATATATATATATATATAGTTTGTCATTGAATGATATTATATATATTTTATTTTTTCTATTTATAATCTATAATTATTAATAAAAATAATATCAATTTTAATAATAGTTCTCCTCTTCATTTTTTTATTTTTTGTCGACTCAATTGTATAATATACTCGTAAAAGTGTGTAGTGTTTCATCTTCTTTAATAGTGTCAAACTTATAATGATTTATTTATTTAATTTTTTTAGAAATTTTTTTTAACAAAAATTAATATTTTTTATTAATTCATCAAAATTATTTTTAAATTATTTTTTTTATTGTTTTTAATAAGTAACCCATATATACTTATTAAAATAATATTATTTTATAATAACTTTTAAAATTGTTAACTCTAAATATTATTTTATAATATTATTTGAATTTTCTAGAACCTTTACAAAAAGTACGACACAGTGGCCGACGACGTGACTTTTCTTGTGATTTTTTGGATAATGTCACTCTCTATTCATTTATTTTAGTTTAAGAATACCACATCATTCCCATATCTAAATATTTAGGGAAACGTCTAAAAGAGTGATTTTACTATATATATATATATATATAAATAAAAGTTAATCACCTATACATTGTTATTCTAAAATTTTTTTATACAGATAACTAATTATATTTTTTAATTGTGTTATGTCACTATAAATACATTACTTTTAACAGTGACTTAACACAATTAAAAGATATAATTGGTTGTCAGTGTAAAAAAACTTTACACTGCTAATGTATAGGTGATTGACTCTATATATATAGGGGGGGTGGGTAGATGGATCTGGGTCTGCGGACCAGTTCATAAGCCCGTGAATTTTGCGAATAACGAACTCGTTTTTTTCAAATTCGTATAACTATATTTAATTTTTGAGCTCGGCCCATGAAATCTTCGGACTTGGCAGATTTAATCAGCTGGCTCGCGGGCTAGTCCGCAAATTTCACTAATTAATATTTTTAAATATTACAATTTTAATATTAAGTCGTGTATTTAATTTTTTAAATTATTATGACATTAAAATTATGTTTAGTTAGTATGTATTTGTCATTTGAATTATTTTTATGACATTTTGATGTTTTTATTATTGAAAGTTTGGTATTTAAGTATTTATAATTATTTTTATTTTAATATTTTAATATTTAGTATTTTAAACCATTTTAACTGTTGATAAATTTTAGTATGATAAAATTTAGTTTATAAATAAAAAAATATATTTTTTCTTTTAATTTTATGTATTTTTATTTTAAATTTTTATTTTTTTAACCATTATTTAGACTCGTGGACCCGTTCGTTATCTGCGAATTTTGATGGGCCGAATACGAACTTAAAAAATAAGTTCATTTATTTTACGGACTGGACTTATCCGGCCCGTATAAAATGCGGGTTTTACGGACCGGGCCTTAAACGGGTCAAACCGGTCCGTATACCCACCTATATATATATATATATAAGCAACTTATAACTTTAAAGTCTTTTTAGTTTATTTTATCAATTTTCTTAATAAAACTTTCTAAAAGAAAAACTTCTTGATAAAACTTATTAATTTAACTTATTTTATAAGTTTCATAATAAAAACTAAATCTTATGTGATAATTAATTATTAATAATTATTTAATAAAACACAATCTTAATAACTTAAATGTAATTAATTAATAAAAAAAGTATTATTATTTTTATCTATCAAATGACAACATTAGAATATAAATATAAAATTATGTGCATTTTACTCAAACTTTCCTGTCATCAAATCAATTCTAGTGATTTTGAGAGTGATACTTTTAATACACTTTTTTATTTATTAAAATTTAATTAAAATAATAAAATTATAAGTAAAATTAGTGAAATAACAATTTTTTAATTTTAAATAAATTTTAATTAATATGCTGTCAAAAAATAAATAAATTTTAATTAATCAAATATTACTATTGGTAGGATTTTTTTACTTATTTATCATAAAAATCAATAATTTATTAAAGTGGTTGAAGGAAAATATAAAATATTTTACAGTGTGAGTGGATGGTATATTTTTCTAGAAAAAAATATGTTATTTCTAGCCCTTCTCATGTACCTAAAGATTGCATAATATCTCGACGAGGAAAGGGACATTTATTTGTTGAAACGGTAATTTTAAAGGAAAATAGAAAATTTGAGTCACATTATGAAGCATTGCAAAGATATGCTGGATATCCTCGGAATAGAAACAAACTTAATGTGATCTTGTCTTGTCCTACTTGGTACAATTGATGGGGTTAAAGACAATGGAAGCTTCAAGAAAAGGAGTTGTGTGGTGGGTCGCTTTGAGTGTGGGGAAATATTATTTTGGGCAAAAATTAGTGAAGAAAGTGGATAACATTGCGTGTTGATGTAGGGGTGAACGTGGCCTTTCTTGCTTTTGCACAAGTGTTGTGACTAATAAGCCATTGTGTCAATTCTTTCAAACATGACAACAATAAATGTGGTCCATTGCTGATTTAGAGTAGAAGCTCTTTTTTTGTTGTCAAGTTTCATGTCCATCCACATGGCTAACGGTAAGTCCACTTTTTTCATTAAAAAAAAAATCTAAATTACACATTTATTCATCTATAATATCTAGTTAAACACTATTTTAGAGCACTTTTACAAACTATTTATCAAATTAGGGTTGTTTTGAAACATATTACACCTTTGGGGCTGTTTTCTACGGTGTCGCTATGGCCCATAGCGACACCAGTGACACGTGGTAATGTTGGGTCTGATTATAAGCCATGAACGCCATATTAGTAGAGTCGCTGTAGCTGCCGGAGTCTCAAAAGAAGTCGTTATAGCCTATAGCGACTCAATCCGGCTAAAACTGAAGTCGCTATAGCCCATAACGTATATTATTTTCTGAAATTTCAAAAAAATTGAAGTCGTTATGGGCCATAGAGCTTTTTTTTTTAATTTTTTTTTAATTTTTTAAATTGAAGTCACTATGGGCCAAGGAGCCTTTTTTTAAAAATTTTAAATATTAAGTATTTATTTATTTAATTTTAAAAATCAAATAATAACTTATTTATATTTTTTTACGTTTAGTATTTGTAATTAATTTTAAAATTATAAATAACATTTATAAAATAAAATAAATAACACATAAATAACGTATATTATTTTCTGAAATTTTTAAAAAATTTAAGTCGCTATGGGCCATGGAACCTTTTTTTTTATAAATTTTTTTAATTTTTTAAATTGAAGTCGCTATGGGCCAAGGAGCCTTTTTTTTAAGATTTTTTAAATATTACAATATTTGTTTATTTAATTTTAAAAATCAAATAATAACTTATTTATATTTCTTTTACGTTTAGTTTTTATAATTAATTAAAATTATAAATAACATTTATAAAATA